CAAACCGGTAATTCATATGTCTACACATTACATTTAAGAGGAAAGGGAAATTAATGATCTTCTGCATCTCTATACCAAACGCTAAGCTTACATTCACCGTAATCTCAGTCGTAGCCGTATACCCTTAGCTAGCCGTAAACTGCGTCGGAACAGTGCTTTTGACCCCTACATCGATTAGACTGTCGTTAAACGCACTTTTACCGATACTACAGGGAGTCCAATTTTCTGTCTTTCCCGCGCTCCACTTATAAGATGCATTACACGTTTAAAACGTCATGCGTTCATAAAGGGATGCCTCGGAAAATGCATAGTACATATGTTGTATGTTGGTCAGTGGAAAAGGTATTCAAATGCCAGAATTCTGGCCCATATGATATCGGTTTGAAGTATGCTGCACGGTAATCACTAATCAGTCCGCCCGAAGTAATCATTACTCGTTGGAAAACATTTAAAATATGTTGGATGCATTTTCATATAAGGGGCCAATAAATGAATATATGAACTCACGTGGTTCCGTAATGGGTGGTTGGCAATATTCAGAGCAGTTTCAAGAAGGGCATTTAAATTATTGCTGCTCGCCGGTGTGTCATCTTTGAAAGGTCTCATCTGACGACTGCATTGCGATAACTTATAATCTCCAAAGGCACACCTTATTGGTACCATTGATTTCCTAATCGGTGTGCCCTGATCTCTGAGTATGAACGCCTCGCGCGGTTACATTTCCTCGAGTTTTGTCACCCTGACTAATTTGCCTGCATTGAATTTAGGAGAGGGTGAGGAGAAAAAAAGGAGAAAATATAAATAATTTATATACCTAGCTGTCCAGCATTAATACTGACCTATACATTTGGTCAACGTTCCACCGCGATATACATCGGACAAAGGCCTGCATATTCACGAAGTTGGACTGCTTACAGAAACCATCGTGTGGAACGGAAAGTTTATTAAATGCTCACCTGGATACTAACTCCTGGTGTTTCGATGATTAGGTACGGCTAATTCAAGTAAGAAGCTACCTTTTCGAAGATATGCAAGCTAACACAAACATGCTCCTTTTTAGTTAGTCAGTAACGTCTCAATAATGTAAGTACCTACCTGGTACGTGTCTAATAGCGATGCATAGCAATGCGGATAAATTTTACATTCCCTCTCGCCTCAATTCCACTTTAATTTAAGTCACAACGACAAGAAAGATTTCAGAAGACTTACAAAGACTACTTTCCTGTGCGAAGATGTGTTGACGCCCTTCGGCAATTCTTCTATCTAGACCACCATCCTCGTCCTAGCCACGCCTGTGACTGGTCTTCCGAGGGTTCGCGGCAAGTGGCGCATTCGACGGAAGAACTTTTGGCAGTTAGACAGAAGCCTGGTTGCACGTGCGTTCACCATGTTGTCGCTTGCAATTGTCATGTCAGAGGCGGCTTGCAGATTTTAATGCCAATCCTGCCGGTCGTTATCCTACTGTGGTGGGTAAGTTGAGGAATTAATGACGTCGTGATAGAGTTATTGTGAGCCAAGTAGCTCTACAGTAGCCACTGCAAGCGCCGCGTACAAAAGCCAGCTGTGTGGGTGCAAAAGTGAGGATATGTCAAGTTTTGGCTGTGGGATGACTAATCAATTGGCTGCCACCAATCAGACGAGGTGGAAGAATCGATTACCTACGAGCATACACGCGGTGATTTGGTATCGAGCGTGCAAAAGGACAATAGCGCACAGCAATCGAACCTCAGCGCACGAATGGCAGCGTATGTCAGCGCAGTTGCTCTGCTCAAAAAATGACCGGATTTGGTAGTGATGATCCTGAAGCATTATCTAAAGATACATCATTTAGGTCAGAATTTCGGAAATTGTAAGCCACACACAATGTAGGTACTATGCCTTTTTAATTTGGAATACCTAGGCATCCCTTTGGTAACGCATGCAGTTTTAAACGATGTATGGATCCACTATGGGGCGACCGAGAAAGAAAAACAGAAAATTGGATCACCTGTAATATCGGTAACATTGCATCTATAGACAGACTAAGCGGCTGAAGGTCACTGTCCTGGCAGAGTTTGCGGTTAAGTTAGGGTGTACGCCTATGCTGGAGATTATGGAGAGAGAAACGCTAATCATTTGGTTTAGATACAGAGCAGAACAGTTAGGGGCGTAATGCGGAAATAATTTGACGAAGTAAAGTTATCGCAAAGCTGGTGATGGTGATGATGACGATGCTGACATTGCTGCTGCTGCTGCTGCTGCTGCTGATGATGATGATGATGATGATGATGATGATGATGATGATGATGATGATGTTATGTTGACGATGATGATGATGAATATGATGATGATGATGATAATGATGATGAATGATGAGGATGATGATGATGATGATGGTGATGATGCTGATGATTATGATGATGATAATAATATGCCAATAAATGTGAATATGCAAATTCCAGGAAGCGTTTCAGAAGAAGATGCGACTACTGGAACAAGAGTTTTACTTTCCTGATGTTTTGGAGAGTTGAACGACCACTTCCGACTCATTTGCCGTCATCAGCCAGTCCTAACTAGGATGAACCCCCGAGGCATAACGGTACGAGTGTGTTCCTTTAGCTATCAGTAAATGCTAATCAATTAGTGTCGATATCACCCGATCTAAACTGGCCAGACAACGAGCCCTTTAGTCAGCGGTTAGAG